GGCAGAGGGTATTACTTGAGGCTTAGTTGTATGATAACATTGACATGGCATTATACTGTAACACTTCACATTTTGTGTTTTCATGCTTAAGACTGATGCAAACAAACACTGCCTACAATTTATAGCCATACAGAGTATGTATATTTTGTGTGTGTAAATAAATGGTGTTTATGTACTTTGCATGCGTGTTGTAGTATAGTTTAGCATGAGACACTAAGAACTGCTGATGACTTCTGAAGTCAGGAAAAATAAACCTAGAGGCCTTTTAAGACTTTTTTTTTTTTTATTAGAAAGTAAGCTGGAAATTCCTGACAATCAAGTGCATACTGTGATGCTACTTTGTAAAGATAGGTTCCTATTTCTGTCTCCAGACCTGGTCGATCTATAAGATAAGTCTTTTAAAATGGCTTACTTCTGTGGTGCTTTCAAACACTTGTTGTTTTGGGAATTGTCAGTGTTTCAGCATTGTCTGTCAGAGGAGAAAAATAAGAAAGGAAAAACTTTTGTTTCTGGAATGTAAACCTGTTTGGACTGGAATAATCTTTAGAAACCTATGTGTTTGTTTTTTTTTTGTTTTTTTTTTTTAAAAAAAAGGCAAAATGTGAAATAACTGGCTTTGAGAACACATGCTTCTTCTGTGAAGGTGCAGATGAGAGATTTTTAAGAAGAGTTTTCAGTGAGTTTTCATCTCTGACACTGGAAGATCTAACAATTTGCTTTCTAGAGGTAATGGCAGGATTTTGATTCAGTCAATGAGAAATGCACAAATGTGTGTTTAAACAAATTCCTTTGATTCATTGCCATTCTGAATTAACTGGCGTAGCTTCTCAGTGGTGTTTAACTTGCTGTGAATGCATGTAAGGTGACCTTTCATGGTCGGTGTAATACAGCTGTATGATCTAGTGATGTTTCATTTGTGCTAACAAAGCCATTATCCTGTTAGGTGTTCTTCCCAATGGGTGTTGTGTCTGTCTTTTGTACAGCTATAGTCACTTGTGTAGGTAAGCAGATGTATGGGGAAAAGCTTACAGTGGAGGAAAGGAGCCATTAGGTCATGCTGTTCAACTTCTGTAAACTTTGCATTTTGTCGAGTGGGCAGTCAGCTTTATGTTACAGTCTATAATGGGTGATCCCTGGTGATGGTGAATGCTTATCTGTTTAGAAAAAGGTATTGTGGGGGTGCAGCGAGGACTGGCCGTTCTCTGAGGCGCAGGGGCCTCAGCCGCCGGGGCCCTGTCCCACTGCCCTGCATGGAGGTGGGCCGGGCACGCCAGGTGATGGTAGCTGGGTTCAACTGAGAGCCCGGATCATCGGGGAAGCCTGTGGTGATGAGGCAGGTCAGAGGAAAAGCTGGGAAGTCAGTCCATGGCTCAGGGAGAGGGTAGACAGGTGAGAGAGACAGCGCAGTGGTACCTCAGAAACACCATTGACAGGGCCAGCGCTGGGCTCAGGAGGGCAGTGTGTGGGCTGAGGTTTGGGCTGGGGGGGCAAATGGCCGGGCAGAGTGGTAACTGCCTGAGCTGGAGACTGGCACTCCTACCCCATAGCTCTGTCAGGGACTGAAGGTCCCAGGGTGAGCTGAACTGGGGCTGCAGGGCCCAAGGGGAACGTGTGGATGGAGCCCCCAGCACAGGCTGGGCAGGGCCTTTGAGGCCTAGTAGTACTCTCAGGGCCCTGACAGGTATAAGCCTTTAAAACCTGGTGAAAGCAGTGGTGTCTTGGAAGAACTGGCACAGTTGAAGAGCAATGTGGCAGTCAGCATCAACCCCAGATGTTTTTCACTTTTTTTTGTCCATGAGATATTTTCTTCTACTGAATAAGACTACATCGTACTTACGAAATGTGTGAACAGGAGCTGTATCCAGGTAAACAGTGCGTGAATGCACTCAGAAGGGTTTGAGCTTTCTTATTGTCTTTGATTCATCAAATACACGCAATTTGTCAGTCACTTTTGATTGAAAACTGAACACTAAAGCCCAACTTAAAACTGTGATAAAGAGTACTGCTTTTGTCCCCCAGCCCCATGAAATTGTGGGGGTTTGTATGTCTGTGTTTTTCCTGCATATACAACTCGGTTCAATGACAGTCTCTGCAAAGAGTGAGCTAGGGGACTGCAGCACGGTTTATTTGAAGCTGTCTTCGTGAACCTTGTGTTGACTGCAGCCAGTGCAAAATACGTCAGTGTGATTTATACCCACAGTGATGCCTGGATCCCATGAATTGTGCTGATACAAATACTCAGTGAACAAGAGCTGGCTTCCTGGTGTATTGTGCTGTCAAACCTTAAATATATTAAGTGTGATAAAGAACAGATTTTTTTTCTTCTTCTTCTTGAAGTCGTGCAACCAAAGCTTAACTGTGAAGGTTGCTTTAAAGTTTTCCATTCAAAGCCTTCTTGTCCATTCACCGTGTTTGGCTGGAACAATCCACAGCTGGGAATCTGTGACTATCCATTAATTTTCCATTCTTATCAGGGAGAACCAGGTATGAGTAAAGCATAATAGTATGTCCGTGGGGGGGGATCTAAGACAGCAGCTTCACTTCCTTCTTCAGAGAACTAGTTAACATTATTCTGATAACCCACATACACAGAGATTTGACAGAGAAATCACTCAATTGTAGGGTTCTTTGGCCTGTTTGTGCAGATCAGACTAAGATTATAATCTGTCTCTTCCTGTTCATGTGAAAAATTTTGAGGGCTTAATTGTTCATCAAGGTGGAAAAGAGCAATGGCCCTACAGCTTCTTTTGGGGTTAAGGCTCACAACTGAACAACAAATTAATAATTAATTTCATGGGTCTAAGCATCAATTAAAAAACAAAAAAAGGTGCTGTTGAACAAAAGTGAAGCTCTTCATAGCTGAATTTACCAGTACAGTGATTTTGAAATTCTACACAGTATTGTGTGAAACAAAATATTCTGTGTTTTAAAAACATTAACACATCGTGTTTTTTGGGACTGTTTCTGGACATGTTTCCAGATGCCATATTATTGAGTTGCCATTACTGGCTTTGTGCTACTGACTTGTCAGTTTGGGATTTATTATGAACCCCTCATTCCTGGTTAGACAAGACTATTTTAAAGGGAAAAAGTAATTTGGAAGGACTTTTGAGTTTGATTGTTTGCACATGATGCAGCAAAGTAAGGAATGGTTAAGAATAGAAGGCTGCTAAACTGAAGTGTTGTATTGACTTACCATTTTATCTCTAGGTCTGTAGCTTCTGTGCAGCACAGGAGAAAAGAGGGTATTTTGTTGTCTTCTGTTGTCAATATTTAGAACTTGAGTCCATGTTTAAAAATAAGTAACACTTTGTGCTGAGAGTGCACTGGGTAACTTGCAGATCCTTTACCAAGGTTGGAGGTGCATTAGTATTTAGATTTGAGCATGGTGGGCAATGAAGTCATTCCTGCACAGTGGTGATTCATGTATATGTATTTGTTTATTGAAAAAGTAAAACTATGTTAAATTTTAATATGCCCAAGAAAATAACTGTTTTCTAATTCAGATAAGCAGCAGGTTAAACCATTGTCTCCTGTTTAAGGCTCCACCTCCCTCTCATTTGGGATGGTGTGTTTTTTTTTTTTTTTTTTTTTTTTTTTTTGTATGGTTTTTACTGTATTCCTGAGATTTCCAAGTTAGCCTGAGGAAGTAAAATGCAATGATATGTCCAATACATACCTTGCAGTAAATGACATTTTAAAAACATAGAACTGGTTCATTGACTATTGAGTGCTCTTCTCTTCAATCACAGATTTATAAACTTCATGCAGTGAGAAGTGGATACTGTGATAGTTTTGTAAATCGTGCATATAGAGCTGATGCAAAGCAAAGGAAAATCATTAGAAAGACTTCAGCTTGCTTTAGAGCAGGCTGCAAGCAGTTTTGTATGCATTTTGTCATTCATTTTTCATTGTGCCTCTTCTCATCATTTGAAGCTGGTGCCACAGGCTTTTATTGTTCTGATGTGCTATTTTCCCTTCTGTTTCTTTTTCCCTGAATCTGTGTCCTTTATCCAAGCCATTTTGCAAATATCTACTAGTTTGGTGTTTTTTTTGTTGTGTTTTCTTTTTTTTTTTCTTTCTTTTTTTTTTTTTTTCTCAAATGGACAAGATCCATAAAGAGAGTGGGGAGAATGTCTAGAGTAAAATAGGATGAGACAGGAGGCTCCTTACAGTCCTGATGTTGACTGTATGGTTGTCTCACAGTCCCTAACTTTCAGCTGTCCAAATAACAGCTCCTGAGCTTGATTCCTAGAGACAGTTAAATCTGATTTGGCAGCTCTGTTGAACTGTGTGTTCCTTGTCTGGGCTGGCAGGAGACAGTAGGCTTTCAAGAAGATCTCTGTGGAGAAGAGAGGAACAAGGTGAGAGTGGTAAGATCTGTGAGTGCTTTAAGTGTCTGCGTAGCAGGGAGAGAGGGGAAACAGTCAGTGGCACTTCAGAGATGGCGTCTCTCAAGCACCTTTTTCATTTCCACACCTTCCATGGTTCCCATTTCCCAGGAGTACGGGATTCTCATTCCTGACCTGCTGCTCCTTTCTGCAGTGTGCTCTGGATACACAGAAGTAGGGCAGGGAAGCAGTCGCAGGAAATTTGCTTAGAGGCAACAATCACAGAATTCCTTGCCCTCACCCTGTCTGCACCTCTGTGCTTCTCTGTTGCTTATGAAGCAAGAAATGTCTGGGAGAAATGACAGCTAATTACCAGGCCAGTTTTCTCATAGGAAAGCTGTGCTTAATAATAAGCAAAATGTGGACAGTTCATGATGCTGGTTACAAGACACAGTGAAAATTGGTGTGATTTTAAACAGACTGTTCATTTCTTGTGAGATAAAGAAGATTTAGTTGTAAGTACTGTTGTAGTCCATTTCCACAATCTTTGATGAATTTAACTCGATGTTTCCTTAAACAGAGTAGAGATAGAAAAAAGAAAATGTTTATACATTTCTTGTCAGTTTTGAAGTGCTTTTGGAAATAAACGGCATGTTCTTTTTCTGACAGGATTTGAAATCTAGCAATCAGCGAGATGAAATTGCTGCAGCACGTGCATCCCTGAAGGAAAATTCCCCTCTCCTACATTCAATATGTTCAGCTTGTTTGGAACATTCAGATGTTGCATCCCTTACAGCCAGCAAGGATTCAATTTGCAATGAAATACAGAATGCTCTCAATGTAATTTCTAATGCTTCCCAAGGAGTTGAAAATAAAATAGGACAACCTACATCTCACACAGCTACTCTTGGAAGTGCACTTGATGAGCTTGAGGTATGTAAACCTGTGAGACTGCAACTTTTTTTGAACTTATTAACATTTTTTAAAAATTTAACTATTGCTATCGTAAGTGGTGGACCTAAAGGCATTAGCAGTTGATGCTCTGCTTAGTCCTAGTCTAAACAGTATCACTCTAAATTATTTATTTGGGAGGGATTTCTTCCTTCAAGAGAGTTTGGAATTAAGTCTTCATGTGTATGTTCAATACTTGTCTTCCTTTAAACAGCAGGAAGGAATTAGTGCCAAGAGTGTCACTAACAATGAAGACCAGACATATCCTTGAATAAGTGGGTGGAACCCATGAGTTTAGTTTACAAATAACAATGATTTTCAGATGATGATGATCACTGCTACCTCAACTGCATTCGAACTACTGCAGTGCAAGTTGTAGTCCTTGACTCCAAAACTTGTAATTGGGATCATTATGTAATTTATATAATTGAAGGATTTAGAAACCTAATTAAGTTTTCTGCTTATCATTAAATAAAGTGACATAATCAATATGCTTTCACAAATTCTACATTTCTACTTCCATTATTTAAGCAAATATTTGGAGAAAAGTCAGTTCTTTCTCTACTCCTGACCTGATCCTAAGATTTTGTATGGAGCTTTCTCTTTTTCTCAGGGCTACTCTGACTCTTACCAGTGTTACTTTCCACTGTCCTGCCAAAAATAGTAAAAGACCTCCTGTGAATGAGATTGCAGACTGTGCTCCTCATCTGATGTAACTGATGCACGCTCAGATCATCATAAAGAATGAGAGTTTCTAAACACTTTTTCAAGTATGGGTCTTTTTGGTTGTAAATTCTCGGACTTACCAGATTTTAGTTTCAGAACTCCAATATTGTTGATATATTTTCAGGAGAATTGGTGTTATGACTGATGGTAACAGATTTTGTCTAAAATTTTCAATGAAAGATTAGAGAAATACATTGAAATATGACACAAATCTTGTAGTGGTAGGTTATTGGTCAAAACAGACCTCTCAGTCATGCTCGAAGTTGAATCTGACAGATTTTGTCTCCCCAAAGGAACAGGCTACAGTTGCATGTTACATGTTGTCGTTCCTTGCTTCTCATACCAGGTTTTAAAATTATAGTTTCTAATATATTTTCCTAATAAATGAAAGAAAAAAGAAACATTTAAGAGTAATACATGATTTTTTACAATGAAATGATTAATGACAAACTTCAAACGAGAGCTGGTATTTACCTGTTTTATTTACAAATATTTTCAAACAAAGTTTGGCAAAAGGATTCCGTCTTCTGACTGCAGATGAATTCATCCTGACTGTATGTGAACAGTAGCATTTTAACGATTTTTTAAAAATGTAATTAAATTTATTATTTTTTAAAAATTTAAGAATTGTTATAATCACAAAATGGAAAAAATTGTCCTATGGAGTGAATTTGTTTTTATTCAGAAACATAAGAACATAAAAGTCTGACTGTTGTAAAAAGCCATTTATTTATGGAGATTTGAATATACTTTTACCTAGGTAACACAAATGGGAATTGAAGCTGTGTGAGTTAGATAAAGCACAATTTATGGAGCATTTAACTTCTTAAAATGATTTTATGAATTAGATGGTTGCACTTTTCTTTCTTTGTAGAAAGTTCTATTGGCTAAGGACCTGAAATAACCTTTGCTCTATCTTCTCTTTGCAAATACAGTGCCGTGACATAGATTGATGTAGTAAATAGTCTGTTGGGAGCAAATCTCATTAAATGTTTATAGTGTGGAAATGTATCACAGAGCTTAGCCAACAATCTAGTATCTAGATGTTTTGCAATGTCATTCTTCCTTTGCCAGCACTGGCAGTGTGAAAGTCATTACAGATTTATAGGTGAGGAAGCCACCAGTAAAATAGCAGCTAACTCTTAAATCAGTAGGTTCTCAAGAATTCCTCTTAAAGGCTCCATATAACTACCATGTCAGTCATAAATAAATAGAAAATTGTAACATTACAAATTTAATTGCATATTAAGAGCTGTGTTAAAAAAGCATGTGGGTGCGGGGTTATCTAAGGCCTTTCATAGGTCTTGCATCTTCTGAATGTAAAGAGATTTCTCACAAAATGATACAGGTCTTGCATGTCTGACTCTGTCAGCATATTCCTCTGATAATGTGGCCCTTTAATGACCATGGCTGTCTAGCAGAGCAACTACATATGAGATGTCAAAATATCGTAAATCAGTCCAAAATGTTAGGAAGTATAACCAGGCTTCTGGATACCCATGATCCCTCAATTTCACAGGTCAGAAGACCAGTGAGGGAGTAAATAGAGATCTGATAACTCCTTTTAAATGCTCACTTATGCTTAAGAACTCCTGTACTTATCCACTGTTTACCTCTGTCAGAGCAACACTGCAAAACTGCTTGTTGCCTATCTGGTGTCTTCTGATTGGTTGGAAATTGGATTGTCTTTTCTGGGTAGATGTACTGATCATAAATATTTGATGGAATTCCCTGAAGAGTTTAGTCTGTGGTCAGAATCTTAAATCATATTTTTCTGGTTATGATTGCCTAGAGTTGTTTTGTTTTGTTTTGTTTAGAGATGAACTGTAGTAGCTTTTTTGCCAGTGCTATTTGTCCATCTTTGCATGAACTTTCTACAAACTGTCTCCTAAAGGAAGATATTTCTACTCCTGTTTGGTCTGAGATTTGAAGGCAGTCATTTTGCTAGCTAAACGAGGAATTGACTGTAGCCTTAGTTTTCCACAATTGATGAAGCTGTTTGTTTCTGTAGAAGCACTTAAATATTCTGCTTGGCAGGTGTGTTTTACATTAGGATAAAGACTATGTATAGCCTAGTGTGGAGGGTGATTACTTGAGATACAGGAGCACAACAGTGAAGTTGCTGCTCCCATGAATAGCGACCGAGTGGCACAACTCCAGCAGAGGTGAGCTACCACAGAACGCTTCAGTATTAAGGACTGTAATCTGTAATGTGAATGAGGCAGACAGAGTTTCAAATTTCTAACACAAATATACCTGTCTTCCACATCAGGAGTGGGTGTCCTGACCTCTGGAAACCAACTATATCTTAGAATGCCTTCCCTTGTCATTCTTAGATCACTGTGGAGGAGTCTTTCATGTGTAAGATTAGTATGAAATAATCTATGGGGTGTAAGGTAGGTTTGTTTTTTTTTTTTTTTTTTTTAATAAGGTAAATATTTAAACATCAGTGACTAGTTTTACGCAGTTTTTCCAAAACTGTATTAGTATACTAGTTATTAAGGTCAAAGATTCTTAATTTTTATTTTTGATGTGTCTTTGGATATAGCCAAAGTAATGAAGACCTAGATAATGCAGTCATTAAACACTTGCTATACAGGAAAACATAGTTCCTACTACTGAAAACTGGTTTGATTCCACTTTTGAAGTTATGCATTCTTAGACAGGTGTCAGTTAAAAGGGGTTATTTTCCCCTACATTTCAGGGTCCTTAATGGCACTTCTTGCCACTTCTTTACAATTTCCTGTGCTGCATTCCCCTAATTTCCTGCAATGCATATTGTGTTTGAGACACGTAGTAACTTAGCTTGCCTCTAGGTACATTTGCTTCAGTTTTCCTTTGCATTTAGCCATAATCTCAGTGTTGTAAGGAAGCTCAGGTAAGAGAAGAAATGAGGAAAAAATGGATGCCCTATACTAGTACCCTTAATGTGTCTCTAAGTTATCCTTGTGAACAAATGGTATCTTACTGCCTTCACCCCTCCAGAAGACTATCTTCAGCTACATTTCCTTTCTTCTGTGGAAGTAGCTATTGCAGTAAATAGCACAAGAGTTTTAATGTTTTAATGCAGTAGGAAGGCTTCTGATGACACTAAGAGCTGGATTACTCCTCCTATCAAGCCTGACTCTAGGCATTGGTAATTAAGAAGTTGCCTGAAAAAGCAAAATTATTTCCTATGCTGTTGCTTGGGAGAGAAAGTCTGGCACCATCTGCTGCCAGCAAGAAGTTATGGTATATGAAGATATTTCTGAGAAGAGCAAGCCATCTTCATTTTTTCCAAGTCCTCTTTCCTTTCTTTGAGTGTTAGCCTTCATGGCAGGGGCTGCCAGGCCCTGGCAAAATTTCAGCTTTTCTTATCTCTTTCTTGGAGAGGGCAAAAGTCAGATTTTTTTTTTTTTTTTTGTAACTACCAAGCTGTTCTTAACTAGCTCCAGCTTCTCTGCTTCTGCAAAAGAGGATGAAAGCAGTTGACTGTTTCCTTTTCTCTGTGAGTGGGTGTATTATTGTTCTATCCCAGTTTGGCTTTGGTTCCAAAGTTGCATGCGAGATTAACGTTTCCATGATCAACATATGTTTTACATCTTTCAATTAGGAAATAATTAATAGAAATATGGTTGTTATGTTGCTTTTACGGATATACAGATGTCTGTGTCTTTAATCTTCAAAATATTTAAGCTCTTTTCCTCTTGCTTGCACACAAACTCCTTTTCAGTATATTATGCTTATCTGGTTAGGTGAAGATTGGTTTGAGAAAATCCAGGAGTTTGGAAATACATAGTTAATACTTTAACTTAATCTATGGTTTCATCTGGTGGATGCACATGAACACCCGACATAGACCCATAAACCATTTTAATGGTCTATTCTGTCACTTGCTGAAACAAGTCCATAAACTTAGTTTTAGACTTTTTAGTCTCTCAGAATGGACAACAGAAAATTGCAATAGCACTGTCCTGATTTTTGCGATACTCTGCAGAGGTATGAAAATCCCCAAATTCAACACAGAAAACATGGAGACAGAGAGAAATTCGCTAGTACCTTTTCTTTCTGGTAATTGTCTGTGGAAATGTGAGGACTAGAATTCATATAGTCCCAGTTTCTGGTACAAAGCATAACATAATCCTAGAACTTTAAGCCCCAGAAGGTCTTAGAGGTTGTTTAGGAAGGTTTATTGTCCACTGATTTTTATGTATGTTAACAGGTAGCAAGTATAGGGCTGAAGTGCTGAGACTACTTAAATAACTAGAATGCTTTTAAATGAGATGGAAGACTTCAGGGCGATGGAGCAGTAGCAAAGGTGGAATGTTTAGAAACCTACACTGAAACTGCAAGCTGGGAAATACACGCTTCCATCTGAATGACACCGTAATGCAGAAAGAACCAGCACTGTTTTCCCTTGGAAATACTCAGTTTGTGAAGTCTGATTTTTCTCTAGTTTTTCTTGGAGATTCTCCCAGCTGTCTCAAAACCATTCTTGTGTATTTCAGAAAAGATGGGAGGATTGAAGATGTAACAAAGTCTTCCTTTTACTAAATCACACCTAAAATGTATGAGAATGTTAATAATAACCAACAAGAAAATTTCAAGGTCACTGAAGTCCCCTTTCCTAGCTATTTCAGCTTTTATCTTACGATGTTCTAATAGAACACTTTCACTACTTGTAGGATTGCCTAAGGTAGACAGTACCTGAAACTGTGATAATAAATCTAAATTGAAAAAATAATTAAAAGTCTCCAGCTTAAAAGTAGTCCAGCACATACTGGATAAGCACAGATAAGTTCTGATTTACCTGACCTGAATTCCACTTAAGAGCACGCGTCATATTTTTCTTGTTTAATATTTCTTCTGAAAGCTTGGAACCACATATGGATGTAACAGGTGAATGGATTTAGGTGGAATATAGGCTTGATGATTTGGACCATAATGACACTGTTTCAGCTGTTCAGATTAAAAACTACTAGTCTGAATTTCTTGAAATGATGAAGATCAAATATACCTACTTCCACATTTCATGAAAATATCACCTCTCCTTTTATTTCTCTTTACATTTGCATGTCAAGCAAATATTCTAATTAATTCTATCATGTCAAAAGAGTTGTCTGCTTTTGTTTACCCCAGCTAGTGAAAAGCAAAAGGACACCTATATCTATGTCCTTTGAAAAAGCAGTTGTTAAACAAAAGCTACTATTTTGGTCTTTGCCCATATTCAGCCTGCTGAAGGTAGCAGCAGTGACTTTCTGCCACAGTGTAGGATTGTATTAGACTAAAAATCAACAGAACTAGACTGCTCATGTAATCTGATTTAACACTCTCAGCTGTGAGCTAGCACTGCTGTTTTTGTGTTAACACCAGAGGTCCTCTGATCTCTGAAATACTGTGTCTTGGAGGCGTTGAACCCCTCTTTCAAACGAAGCTGTGACACAGACAATGCTTAGATAAACCATGGAATATTACTAAGTAGTAAACTCCTACACTGTCATAATTGTACGTAGACATTACAAACTTTGTATAAGATACATATCTTCTTTTCAGGAATTTATGAGGTAAATATACAGGACAGGCCCACTTGTATGGGAGGAGGATAAGGAAGACAGATAATGCGCAGGAAGTGCAGACAGACACACGAAACAGTTTGAAAGAAGCAATACTTTTTTTACAACTGCAGTGACAAAACTTGAAGAGAAGGAAACAATGCTGGCTGAGAATTTGGGAAGATGGCATGCAGTTGCCTGTTTTAAAACATACCTTTTGTATGGCCATGAACCTGGCAGTCTGGTTCTCCATTCTTTGCTTATGAAATAGGGTTGATAGCTTTTCATTGTAGAGTAGGATGTAGTGAAAATTGACAGACCGAGTAGATACCACAGTGATAAGAATGCATGCGTGTTTATAAAGGCAGACAAATGGCATTTCTGTTTCCAGAAGTGAAATGCCTTGTACAAGAGGAAATGCCAGATACAGGTGTAGGATAGACTGAACCCGAGGATGAAAATCTTGAATCTCATGAAGCAGAAGTAGGAAACAGAGGAAGGACTCAGAGACAAGGTAGTTGTAGTCAGAATATGTCAGTACGGCTTGCAGGTAGATGAGATCTTGGTTTACTTGTTCTGTGAGCTGCTTAGGTGTAAACCAGCTCTGGCCAGAAAGCTCTGCTGCTGTCTTAGCTGGGTCCAGGCCAGTAGGATTTGATAACATGGATATTGGCTTAAAACTAGGGAGAACTGAATGGCAGAGAGAACTTGGCTTTGTCTGAAAATGACCTGTATGCACAGCCCCACCAGGAAAAGCGGAGTCTGCCATGGTCACAAGTATTTTGGATACCTAAGGGCAGAGGGTTAGTTGCAAGTCAAGGAAGCATAATGTCACTGCAAGTGAAAAATAAAGCAACAACTTATTTGGGCTGTCTTTTCTTACTTGTACTCCTATTGTTTTCCAGAATTTAATTATCCTGGATCCTCATGTAGTGAATGAAGAGAAAATAAGGCCATCACTAGAGAAACGTCTGGAAGCTATTATCAGTGGAGCGGCTTTGCTAGCTGATTCTTCCTGCACACGTGATTTTCATCGAGAACGCATCATTGCTGAATGCAATGCTATTCGCCAAGCTCTCCAAGACCTGCTTTCTGAATACATAAACAATGTAGGTAACCACACTTGTTTCTTTTTTAAATGTCTATTTCAAAGCCTGTTTTAGTGTGTATTACGATTTAACCTATAATTGGTGTAAATTAGAGTTTAACCTGTATTTCTCAACATGCTATTTACAAGGTTGAAAGGAACGTTTTTCTACATAAATCTAAGAAAAAGCTAAATGCAGATCTCAAGAGTGAGTATGGTTTTTATTATATCATACAGTCTGTGGAAAATGCTGTATTACATATACAGTGTACAGGTTATTTTATGCTTGTTGTGAACTGTCACTAGTACAGAACAGACATAAACCTTCATATACTAGCAACAAGAGTTTCTTCTTAATGTCTCTTCCTAGACCAGAGTTTTAAAATGTAATCTCTGATCCTGTAGAATGCAACAATTTAAATAATCATTTGTTTAAATGTAAGTATTCTGTATCATTTTAGAGTAGAGCGTTCACACCACTACCTTTGATCTGTGTAAGAGCACCAAGTTACAAATATAAAAATTACTTAGTTTTGCTAAATTAGAAAGCTAGGACTGTTTGCTAAAGCCATAAATCTAGTTCTCTGGCATACTTCTAGGCAAATTCATCTGTGAATTTTTGAAAAGGAATATAGTTTGGTTGTGTTTTAAAAACAACTATTAGATTTAAAGAATGGATTTGGCACTTCTTATGTCTGGCAGTTAAATGATAAAGCAGTAGAGAGACACGTACTATTAATATGAGTACACAGTATTAATTCCATGCATTTCCTCTGGAAACATTTGCTGTAGGCATACTGTTCTTATCTAAAGATACTTAAAGATGATTCATCAAGCACATTGAGAGGATAATTGTGTGATACAGCTATTTGTTTCTTTTTTGGGAAGCTGAAATTCCTTCCTGTTCTGTAAGTCATACTAGTTAACCCAGTCAAAAACTGTTCTAATGAGTTTTTCTTTGTCTTATTGTCATTAGGATAATGAGGTATAGAGGCTAAGATAATCTATACATATCAGATGTTTTGTCATTTCACAGATATTGTAATTTTTTTCTTTATTGGGGGCAGGTGAAATTTACAGCTGATTTATTTCATTTTCTGTGAATTCAAGTTGCTCATTCAGTCCCTATACCAGATAAAGATGTTTTCATATATTTACTCAAAATCTAGCTGCAGTTTCTGTTGAATGCAGCATAATTCTTGAACCTCTCTGGTAGTGCTTTACACGTGAGTTAGCAGTGTGACATTCCTTTAGCTCTGAATAGCTGTGAATGTTAGTATTTGATATGTTCTTCTGCCAGATATCTATTGTGATCTGTTCTACAGTGGATCAGGTTTGCTGTTAAATGGCTGAAAGTTTAATAAGGAAAGGCATCAGCCTTTAATGGTTGGACTTGATGATCTTAAACGTCAACATAAATGATTCTATGATTCCAGCCTGTAGTAGCCAGAGGACGCAGATGTGGTGTATAGCAACTCATATTAGTCCAAAAGACCACTGTAGGTTTGTCACAAGAATTCTTTACGGGAATTCTATGTCTTGCAGGAATAAAACTACATGATGGTAAGTCAAATGGTCTTAAATTCTTGGACTCTTGAAACTGTGATTATCTTTTCTGTTTCAGAAATAATCATGGTATTAGGGTTACATAATGCAGACTGAGGGGAAAAGAAGAATACATAAACCACTGACTTGAGAAAGTCAGGAAGCAGCTATTTAAATATGGCAAAAAGGGAAAGTGTCATATGATTTTCTGCAGAACACAGTGTCTGCACAAGATGGCAAAGATGAGGAGGGAATCAGAAAGGAAGAAATACAAAAAATTTAACGGCCTATGAAGTGTTATACTAGAGTTGAATGACAGGAGCGAATTTAAAGTTTTCAGTGTCTTTTTGTGCTCCTGATCTGCCCATAGAATTAATATTGATCTCAATGGAAAAACTCTCACCAAGAATCATTTATGGCTATTACTGAGACTGGATTAAATAAGTTTTGCAATGAGAAGATTATCAGGTGTCAGTTACTTCATTTCACAACTCACTGAAGAGTAGATGATGGATCCAGGAGGCAGTGCTGATATATCACTGTCTTCTGGGCTCTTCTGTTAATAACTTTAATAAGCTAAGACTGTGAATTGAATGAGGTATAAAAATTATGCCAGCCATTTGTTAACATAGTACTATTAAAGGACTAGGATGTGATTCCCTTCCTTTCCTTGGGAACACTGTTGTACTCCACGGTCAGTCACACTGTGTACATAATACTTCATGAGAGTTTACATGTATGTTCTCATGGTGTGTTTGTGCCCTGTGCCCGGAGTGAGGCACAGAGGCTGTGCACCACAGCTTGTACGTAAGAGAGGAACATTTTCCTGACCTGCTATCCACAAAGAGCATGCTTTTGCTCCCGTCTTCGTCCTGATGTATGGCTCACAAAACATAGCCTACCCACTGTCATTTCAGTCCTTTTCACTCTCATGAGTTGTAGTAGTCAGCTGCTTGAAAGATTTTTTTTCTGGTTTGATTACTTTTATTAAGGCTTCTTCCTATCTGAGTGTTGCTAGTGGGAGCTGCACTGTTTCAGAGACACCACACACAGTAAGTGCCACCTTCGCAGATCCTTCTCTAGCAGCTGGTTTGCCAGGAAGCTGTATGAGCTGCAGAGACACTGGTAACATCCAGTGTACCTCTAAAGCCCCAGGGTCTGGTGCTGGTGGTAGACATGGCGTTCCTGGTAAGTGTTTAGCTTTGACATGATCATTGCCAAGGACCCGAGTGCCGAAATGTTATGTAAATTCTACAATGTCTGTTTCTTTGAAACTAGCCCTCAGTGCCTAAACAAATGTACAGGAACTTATGATTTAGCCGTAACTATTTGAAACACTACAAGGAATATAGCTTTTGTGGTTCCTAAATTTATTCTACTTTTTTTTTTTTTTTTTCCCTCAATTATTCTAAGTCTCTAATAAGCCTTAAGGACATCAAGCAAAATCAAGGACCTGTTGGTGTCAGTGATAAAATTTAGAGTTTTTATGGCCAGCTGGGAAAAACATCTTTTCAGCAGATACTGCATTTTCTGTAAGTGGCTGTTTTTCACAGAGGCTATATTACAGTGGAGTGATACAATGGAAAGTTAAGCAAAACATCCTCTACACTGATGAAGACTCACTCTGTCTCCAAGAAGCTTTAAGTTTTTCTGTTCACAAAGCAATTCAGACATATAGTAAATTGCAGATATCTTTATAATTCTACTCAAAGGCAGCAATTTTTCTTCTTGTATTTTGGAATTATTTGTGTACTGTTATTCTCTCTGAATTTTACTCGTAGACATATATTGTTAAGGGATATATTTCCTTTTCAGGACATCAAATAACAGGAATTACTACTGTGAATTTGGATAGCTTATCCATGACAAAATCATACTATGGTGTGTGGATAATAATGTATCCGTAGGAGCAATCATTTTGTTCTAGTAATAAGCACTTGCATTTCCCTGATGACAAGCTCTTGTCTTGTCTCTGCTCATCCTTTAAAATGGAAAGTTATTAGCAATACTAACTCCATGTTTCTTGATTTCTCTGTCTGCTTTTACTCCCAGTTACAATAGGGATATGCACTTATCTGGGTGATCAAAAGGGATAATAATGTTGTGATTGAGTGTGAGTTAAAGTGGCTGTTGTGAGCAGCAATTAGGATGATTGCAGGCACTGCTTTCTCTGCCTTCGTTAAATAGGGAGGGTATGCCTGAATAATTATTCTTCACCCACATGTGAGTTTGAATAAAGATCACTGACTAGATTGTTCAAGCAAGGCTGAAAAAAGGCTGGTATAGAAAGGTCAGATACTGATGGTATGATAGCTGCTTTCTTGAATTAAAGTTTCCTTACTTTTGGTATGTTGTTTTGTGATATTTGAGCTGTATTAGTTTCTCACCTTCTTCTGGATATTGATTGGATATTGGTTATGCGTGCTGGGCTGGTATACTTTATTGATAGGTTGTGATTTCGTTCTTTCTTGTTGTGTATTTTAAAACTTCAGTTTCTTAACTAGGTTTTTACTTGAAAATTACCGAAGTTTCTGGGTCAAATAATGCCAGTAAAATAGTTTGCATTTTCATTGTAATTTTCAAAGTTTTGATATGTTTTCAAGTCTTCTATCCTTAAAAATAGTTTCAAAAGAAAATCTGAAATATTGAGATCTGAAAATATATTTATAAAACGAGTATTCTTCTGTTCTTTCAAAATACATTGCCCACCTTCATACAGATTTGAAAAATGTGTCAGTGGCACAGAATAATTTCTTGTGTTAAAAATATCAACACAGAATATTTCACGCACAACTCACAGAAATGTGTGACTGCAAACTAGTAGCAACTCAGTAATGTAGTCTGCAGTTCTGATTGTCCCTGTACAGTGCTGGGCCACCTTGTCTAGACCAGGCTTTTGCCAAGACATGTTGGACGAGATGATCCTTGAGGTCCCTTCCAACCTTCTGTTCTGTGGTCCTTGTGCCACAGGTGGTGGCGGTTATAGCTGTGGTACAGCAAGCAGCACTAGCACGTGTGTGGCACTGCTGTACTGAGTGTGACATGGAGCAGAGCCAAACCATACCTTCTCACACCAGCCGTGGTTTTCAGTCTCTTAAGGAGACAACTTAAGAAAATGGGAGGAGACTAAGGATACATTTTACCTTGAGGCCAGATCAGGAAATGATCTGAAGTTGACCACATTCTACTTACTTACGTTACATATCTAGGGTATGGGTAATCAGGCCCTGACCATCCATGTAGCCTAAGGGCAGGCCAAGCTGAGGCTGACTATAAATCTCATCTGCTTTGTGGCAGACAGCATCGGACCACTCCAGGAATGGTGCTGCAAGGGAGATGAAGTAATTGGTGGCAGATAGTGAAGCACCTGTATTGCATGTAGAGCATACTTGAATCACATTGAAATGCAGCTGCTGGAGCTTTATGTTCTTGGGTTCCGTGAAGGTTCTGTGAAACCGCAGGTTTGTGATCACAACT